AAATAGCTTTCCATGATTAATGCGGTCAAAGGCTTTAGAGGCATCTAAAAAGCACAGACACATTGTGGAGTTCTGCCTTCTGTACTTACTCACAGCCTCTTTCAATGCATAGATACACATATCAGTCCCATGCTTACTTTTAAAACCAAATTGCTCATCATTGGTAATAACATATTGCTGAAATCGATCCAGTAATATTATCTCTAATACCTTAGACATCACGCTGGCTAAGGCAATAGGCCTATAGTTTTCTGTGCTAGATATTTTCCCTGTTTTGTCTTTAATTACAGGTACCAGCAAAACAGAAAGCATAGAACTGGGCAATGTGCCATGAATCAACATTCCAGTAAAACACAAGGCCAATAAAACAACAAGTCTGTGACTAGCAAATTTCAAATGCTCTGCTGTGATCTGATCTAGGCCACAAGATTTATTCAGAACTAATTTTCCTATAGCAGAAGCTACTTCCTCAGCCTTGATAACCTCATTATTAAAAGACGCATTCCCAATAATGAAATCGTCACTTTTAACTCAATTGAATAGGTCACTATAATGCTTTCTCCAAAGATCTGCAATATTTTCATATCCAGTAACCCCTTCAACACTAGAGGGCAGAGGAATTTTACTAGCATTCATGACTTTAACTTCTTTCCGGAAATCTTGTATATCATTTTGTAATAATTTCTTAGCCAAAGAATTAGCTCTGAGAGTATGTTCGCTCCTTTTTATGAAGCGAACAGCATATTTAAACTGTGTGACAGCTTGTTTCTTTACATCACAAGTATGACCATTCCTTGGTTTTCCAGCAGCAACCCAGTTTTTAAAGGCTTCCCTTGCTTGCTAATGGCGTTTACTCACATGCTCATTCCATCCTGGTCTAATACTATATCGTTTAGATAATTTGTTACAAAATGATTTGCTTGCATTGTTTAGTACCATCACAATTTCATCATACACGTTACACAAATCATCATTATGGTTTGAGTTATCACAATTAATATTATCACACAAAAATACATCATATGGAATTTGAATATTCCCCAGAGACTTGTCAGTCAAGTTATAATAATGCTGCATATCACAATATGTGAGCTTAGCCCACTCAACTCTCCCATCATAGGTATAATTACCCTTTTTGGTTATCTCAGGTAATTTTTCTATATTTAGCATCACATAAATAGGCATGTGATCGGTTGCAGTTGCTCCATACAATATTTCAACATTCACTATACTTTCATGAGTATCAACAGTGCATATGCAGTGATCCAGCCATGAAGTTGTATTCCAGGCCTCACTGACATATGTGTAGCTGTCAGTTGGCAACAGATCCAACCTTGACAGAATTAAAGTATTATCCTGACAAAACCTAACCAAGTACTGGCCAAACAAAGATTTCACATCAGAAACATCTGTATTAAAATCTCCCATTACATAAATACAAGTGCATTCACTCTCTTCAATAAAAGAGCATATAAAAGCAAGCCTTTGAATAAATTCATCCTCATTACCAGGACATTCATAGGGCATATAAACATTTAAAATAATAAAAACATTATTGTCGATGGCTACTTCTATTCCTATACACCAATCAACATTCAATCTAATCACTGTATTTACATCATATTTCATATGCCACATAATAACCACTCCACCAGATATTCTACCATGCACAAACCCCAAACTCAAGTCTGTTGTGGACTCTCCCACCCCGTGAAAGACACTATTGACAGAGTTAAGTTTGTCCAGATCTTGTTTCAGAAGAAAAGATTCCTGTACACATAAAATGTCTGTGTTCTCAAACAGTTTGTCAACAACGAGCCGTCGAGCCTTATCCGTCGCAGTTTGACCCAAACGCAAACCACGGGTATTATATGACACAACTCTCATGTGTTGATTTTAATCTACTGGGTGGTGTACCCCCCCAAACGCGTTCGTTTTAACACCCTTTGATTTACGCACTTCATAGAATGACATAATGACACTTCCAGACTAGAGACTGCTTCTGTTGCAGTGC